CTCTGATAACATGTCAGAATCCCAACCACTAGACCATTGGGATAAAAGTGCTTGTTTGTGTAGCGGGTAAGTGCGCCCATAACCCCCCAGGCCAACGTGCCTGTAACCCTTCCCCAGGATCAATCGGGGATCACCAGTGGACCTCTGACACTCGGAAGCGTTCCAGCCCGTCCAGCGTGTCTCCGCCGTCTTGTTTTCTTCGGTTGCAGGTTCTGACGTGCCGCTGTCTTCTTCCATTGTGGCAAATCCGGTTTCTGCAGGGTTGGAGGTCGAGGCAGTCGGGACTGTGCGCAAGCGCAGGAGGCCGTCGGAGGCAGGTTGCTCGAGATCCATCTCGTCGGGATGTGACCATGTTGTTGGCTCTGTGGGAGTTGTTTTCAGTAGCAGTGTGCGGTGGGAATCGCCGGTGGTGCCCTGAGCTGAGAATTGCAGCACGAAGACTCCATCATCATCGATCGCCTTTCCGATGTAAGTTTCTTTGTGGAAGAGCTCGAAGGTCTTCTCCTTTCGATTGCTGCGAATGTCGATTCCGCACCGCATGAGTTGCGCTAACGAGAGTAAATTGTATTGTAGGTCAGGTGCGACGAGGACGTCCCCGATGTGAATGGTGAACTTCGTGTAAATGGCCTCGAGGTAGATTTCGCCAATCTCATATGCCTTCATTTTTCCGTTGTTTGCGGCAGTGATTTCGCAGGGCCGTCGCATACGCCGTGAGTTGCTGATAAACTTTGGCGATCCCACCATGTGTTGCCCGCAGCAACTGTCGAGGTACCACGTGTCCAAATCCTCGTAGCGCTGACGGGCGAGGTTGGCGATCTTGGGTGTGACGATGCGATCAAGGTCGCCGGTGTACGGTGAGAGGGCAAAATATCTGTTTGCGGAAATGCTCGGCGGCCATTCCGGAGTAGGAGGGGGGAGCTCGAAGTCAGGAGGAATGTCTAAGGGGCGAGTGGACCAGGTAAAGACTGTTGGATCATTGTCTGGGCTGGGCGCAACGGGGTTGATGGGATCGTCGCGAGCGAATGTTACTCGATCCCAGTAACGGAACCCTCTGTTGCGGCGAGCCATGCAGCTTATGATTGTCCCTTTTCCTTTGTCCTTCGCCGTGATGAGTGCAGGAGATTGAGAAGTGCTGGCGACGGAAGGAGGCGACACAGTGGCGGAGGGCTTTGTTTGTGCCGATGGTTGTTGGTTGGAGGCGTTGCGTCGCTCATCAGCAGCCTGACGCTTGTAGCACTGGTCGATAGTGTGGCCAGACTTCTTGCAGTATTTGCAGAAAGCTCCCTTCTTTCCGCGTTGCTCCCCTTGTGATGCTTCTGTGTAAAAGACTAATTTCTCTTGTTTGACATTCTTCTCGTTGTACAGGTCGATCTCCTTCTGCTCCGAAAGAAGCGTGGCGCACAGAGCCGACTCCGATATGGTTGCTCGGGCGCGAAGGAGTGACTGGCACTGTCGCCAGTCGGGGCCGAGGCCAGAGATGACCATCGAGATGAACATGTCGTCGGGGACAGTCCCACCGCATTTCTTGACTTGGTCGCGCAGATTGCGGCACCGGTTGACATACGGTCCCGCTTTCTCCCCTTGCTTCATTTTAACCGATGTTAGCTGGCTGAGCAGACGACTCATCGTAACTGGATCTGTTGCCATATATGAGTTGCGCAGGTGTTTTTTTAAGACGCGTGCGCGGGAGCCCACTCCGTCTTATAAGGACGAATGCCAAGTTGTTCTTCAGGTGAGAGGTTGCGAAGGAGAGCGGTGTACGCGAGGAGTGATTCGTGGTAGTATTGATGCTTCTCCTGGATGGTGCCTTCCGAAGGAAAAGGTAGGCTTCCGTCGTAGTACATCCAGATCTGAGCGGTTGTCGCGAGAAGCTCGCATTCAAAACTCCACGTGTAAAAATCCTTTCCGTCGAAAGGGATTGAGGTCTTCAATTTTGAAGTCAATACAAATTTGGTTTGCATTGAAGTGGTGTCTGACTGTGAGCGTTGTGGGTTGTCCTGTGCAGGAGCTGACCCTTGACGATTGTCAAAGGTGAAGGATCTCTCGGAGTTGACGCGGCGGTCTTCTCCAGGAGAGGGAGTCCAGCAACGCCACGTGCATAGCTTGAGCCGTCAATGCTCATTGCTTGATGGCTTTCAAGGGCGTTGATGCGTGCGACTAGCTCCTCAACGACATCGGCGCTGACGGAGGTCACCGCTGAGGGCACGTTAGTCGTTGCTGGTGGTGGGCCCGGTGAGTCTGCAGTAGCTTTTCCTTCAGGAGCCACAGTATTACAGACTTTGAGGTGTAATGAATAACTTTATAAGGGGATTGTTCTGAGAAGAACGAAGACTTGGCAAATCCTATAATCCACTCTAGCTCTCATACCATGCTGATACAACCAGAGGATTCAGTGGATAGGATAGGTTTAAGTCTGAGAGGAGGCAATGGAGTCTCTGTAGTGACCTTGTTGAATGATGATTGAAAGAGAACAAGATGATTGTAAGATAGGAGTACAAGAGTTTAAATAGAAATCTAGCTAGCCATGTACTCTAAGAGGTACATTCCCTTATTAACTGTATTGCATAGCTACAGTAACCGTGACTATCGCTATCCTCGACAGTTGACCATGTTGCAGTGAATTAACTGTCGTGCGGTTACTGGATCGTCAAAGGTCACGACCGTTGACTTCCTCAGACGGTTGACCTTCGGGTGACCTTCGACATTCCGCATGCTCTATATGAGCTATTGCGGTACTGATACAGTGGAGCAGCTTCGGGAATGATTTATATAACCCTTCGGTTGTTTCAACATGGGGGTCTGGCCCGACCCGACCCGACCCGGTCCCTACCCCCGAGGGCGGGTCACGCCTGTCCCGGCACCCAATACCCGGGTCGGGCCAGGATTCTTTGAAGTTCCGACCCGACCCGACCCGACCCGACCCGGAACTCGGCTGGCCCGCCCAAGTCGGGTCGGGTCGGGTTGGGTCGGGCCTAATGATCATTCCTAACTGGCATTATACAAATTAGGGGTCTGCTATCATTATTTAGGTCTATATGTGTATAACTCACAGAATGGAAACAGAATGCACACTGTATCTTGTAGCGTTTGTGCGCGAACATCTGTCAGCAGCACGTTACGCGGAATCTGGCTTTTCCCGCCACAACAAGTAGCAGCCAATGGCATCTCACCTCTCTCAAGAAGATGCCGCGCCGCATCCATCAAATCCTACAGCCAATTCCGAAGCGCCCCTCCTCCCTTACCTTCCCCCAAATCTAACCCTCCCGCACCTACGCTTGGTTCGGGCCACCCTCTTCTCTCTCGTGACTCGGCCACCTGCTTTCCCTCTCGACGCATTTTCGGGCCAAATGCTTCTCGCTGCTGGTTCGACGCATCCATTCCAGCTGGAACACACCTCTTCGCGAACAGCTATTTCCGTTGCTTCGCAAATTGCAACTCGTGCTTGCTCCCTCATTAGCATTCCTCGTTGCGTCAAACTTGGCAGATTGGCTTGGCGTCCTTTGAGCATTCTGTTTTATGACTAGCAGCGGTCGACACGTGGGGTACGGGCCCAGCAGGAACGCTAGTGATTCCGCGTGACACCCGTAAGGAGTCCGAACATCGGAATTCACGACCCCGCACGGAACAATCACCACAACTTTTCTGCTGTAATCCAGCCGCTATGGCTCCCATGCTCGCAGCGCACTCCCGTGGTCCCTTGCAACACACCGTGTCGCATGTCGCGAGCTCCACCCACCTCCGCGCAAGCCCCGCGCACACCACTGCAGAACTCCATTTAAACCCAAACGCCCATTTCCAAAGCCCCGCCTGCGCGTACGACCGGAGCGCTTTTATACTCCCGACCCTTAGGCTGTCTCATCTCGCGCCTTTTCCCCCATCGTCTCTGCTCTCGTCTTCCGCGTACTTGGTTTCGTCGCCACTCCGCGCATCTCGCCGCGTTTCCCGATCGGGGTCGCGCAGTCTCCGAGCGCCCGTGGCGCGGAGAGACGACGCGTCGGCAGCGGAGTCGGCGACGGCGCAGCGGAGCACTGCAGCCAGCAGCGCGCGCGCACAAGGGGCGCGGGTTGGCGGACGAGGTGACATTTCAAGCGGAGGAAGTAGTACCGGAAGCGGGGGCAGTGTTCCGCGCGCGGGCGGCGCAAGCGGCGCTGGAAGAGCGGGGGAAGCTCAACGAAGAAACTCGGGGTCCAGAGAGAACGCGGGAGGATCTAGGGGCTCCGGTGAAGCCGCGAGGGGCGGAGGAGAGGTTCAGAGGCGCGCGGGAAGCGGAGGGGAGAGCGGCGGAGGGGTTGAGGGGCGGGGGCGGGGGCGGGCGGTGCGGCTGCTGTCGGATCTGTGTCTGCTGCATGACTTGAGCCTGGGCGACAGTGGGCCTGAAGTTGCTGACGTGCAGGTGCGCGTGGGTGTGTGTGTGTGTGTGTGTGTGTGTGTGTGTGTGTGTGTGGGTGTGTGTGTGTGTGTGTGTGGGTGTGTGTGTGTGTGTGGGTGTGTGTGTGTGTGTGTGGGTGTGTGTGTGTGTGGGTGTGTGTGTGTGTGTGGGTGTGTGTGTGTGTGTGTGTGGGTGTGTGTGTGTGTGTGTGTGTGGGTGTGTGTGGGTGTGTGTGGGTGTGTGTGGGTGTGTGTGTGTGTGTGTGTGTGTGTGTGTGTGTGTGTGTGTGTGTGTGTGTGAAGGGGGAAGGGGATGTGATGTCTGGTGGTGTCAGCCGCTTTCCACGCTAGCCATGCCTGAAGTAAGGGCGGAATGAAGTGAAGAGGCGGAAAGGCGAATGATGCGTGCGGGAAGGGCTACAAGGGCTGGAGCAAAGTTCCCTCTCTTGCCTGCATTGTTTGCCGTCCATTGGGACTTCCCAGACCCAGAACTAGAGTACTCATACCGCTTTGGAAAAGTCTAAAAACCATACACCCTTCCCTCTCTTCCCGTTCCCACCCTTTCCCCCTCCCCCCTTGGCCTCCCCTCTCCTCCACTTATCCCTGCCTGCCTTCTCTCTCCTGACGCACAGAGCGCTCTGCTCCACTTCGGCTTCTTCCCGGATGCTTCCTTGGTGACCGGGTGAGGGATGCTTGCCTGCCTGCTTGCTCGTTTGCGTGCTTGCCTACCTGTGTGCGCTCATTCTCGTCATGTCACAACAACCCTTACCTACCGCATGGCATCAGCATTCGTTCGATGTCTCCGTTATTGCGTTATTGCGCCCCCCTCTCCCATCCCTTCCACCCTGTACGGTTGACACGGCTTTTTTTCCCATCGTAGATTCCCTGCCTCGTGCAACCCTGACACGCAGCCAGAGGCCACACCTACCATCAACGCCCCATTCTCCCCTCCGGATTTTCTTGCCCAAATGCTTCTCTGCCGTACCTGGCCCGTTTCTCATGCTATCCATCCATCCATGCGATCTCCCCTCCTCCCCCATTCTCCTCCGCTCCATCCTCCCGCCTTCACCCTTCCACCTTCATTCGTCCCTCTTTCCCACCTCCCCCGTTTCCCACCGTCCCCACAACCACCCGCCGCTCCCCCGCCCCTCCTACCCCTCCTCTTCTCCCCACACCCCCCAAGTCCTTCAGGCCTATAACGCGGGCGAGCATAGAGCAGTTTCAGGAGCAGCACGGGCTGCAACGATTTCTTAGGCGCCTCCATAACCCCCTTCCTGCCCTCGCCCCTCGCCTCTCCCCCTCGTCCCTCCTGCAGGTTCTTCGGGCCGATAACGCAGGCGAGCATAGAGCAGCTTCAGGAGCAGCACGGGCTGCAACGATTTCTTAGGCGCCTCCATAACCCCCTTCCTGCCCTCGCCCCTCGCCTCTCCCCCTCGTCCCTCGTGCAGGTTCTTCGGGCCGATAACGCGGGCGAGCATAGAGCAGTTTCAGGAGCAGCACGGGCTGCAACGATTTCTTAGGCGCCTCCATAACCCCCTTCCTGCCCTCGCCCCTCGCCTCTCCCCCTCGTCCCTCGTGCAGGTTCTTCGGGCCGATAACGCGCGCGAGCATAGAGCAGTTTCAGGAGCAGCACGGGCTGCAACGATTTCTTAGGCGCCTCCATAACCCCCTTCCTGCCCTCGCCCCTCGCCTCTCCCCCTCGTCCCTCGTGCAGGTTCTTCGGGCCGATAACGCGCGCGAGCATAGAGCAGTTTCAGGAGCAGCACGGGCTGCAACGATTTCTTAGGCGCCTCCATAACCCCCTTCCTGCCCTCGCCCCTCGCCTCTCCCCCTCGTCCCTCCTGCAGGTTCTTCGGGCCGATAACGCGCGCGAGCATAGAGCAGTTTCAGGAGCAGCACGGGGTGCCTGTGAGCGGCAAGTGGGACGAGCCCACGCGCACCACCATGTGCCGTAAAGTGCGCGACCAGCAGCACGTGCGTAAGGGGGCATGGGGGCAGAGGGTGGGCTGGGAAAAGGGCGGAGGGTGCGCCTGGGGGCATGGGCGGAGGGTGCGCTAGGGGGATGGGCAGAGGGTGGGGCGAGCATGTGTGCTGTGCAGGGTTCATTGAAGGTTGCCAAGGTTTGAGGCGCCTCAAAACTGCAATCCATAATGATCATCCCTCTCCCTCACCCCCTCACTGCTTTTGTGCTGCCATGTGTGCAGGCGGCAGCGAGGGCTGCAAGGCATCGGCAGGAATGGAGAACCGCAGCAGGTGAGGTGGCTGGGGGGAGTTTAGAGGAGGGGAGGGGAGGGGAGCATCGTCTGTGTGGCCAAAAGCGTGTTTGAGAGGAAGGCACTTCTTACACCAGCACTGCCGCGTTTCAAGACCTTGCTGCTGCCATGCCATGGTTGCTACTTTTTGTCCTCTCTTCCCCAGTCTTTTGCGCTGCTCTCTCGATTTGCTTTAATCTGTTTCCCCTTTCCGCTGTTTCCCACCCCCCCCCCCTCCCCCCCCCCCCCCCCCCTCCCTCCCCCCCCCCTTTTTTTTTTGTTGGCCCTTTCCTATCCCCTGACCACCAGCGCCTAAACCACAACAACAAAGGCCGCAGCAGCAGCAGCAGCAGCGACACCAACAGCAGCAACAGCATACTCAGTTGCCTCTGGGACTCCCTCATCTGGGCACAGCCGTTTCTGCCATGGGCAGCCGAGGCATGGTGATGCTCTCTGCACCCTTCCTGCTCGCCGCTGCTGTCGCTGCTGCTGTCACCGTACGTCGATTCATCATGCCCCTCGCCTCCTCCTCCTCCCCTTCCTCCACACAGCAGCAGCAGCAGCAGCAAGAATCAGATCCTGCAGGTGCCATCTCTGCAAGTCCTCCCCCCCCTGCGCAGTCCCTCTATCCAGGCGCACCCACGGCCTCACCCTCACCAACGGTCATTCCTGCTTCGTACACGCCAGCAGCTGCTGCTTCTCATTCATCATCTGACTTTCCTCTCGATGCATCCTCACATCACGCGCCTTCACATGCGTCCTCACACGAGCATTTCTCGCTCAACACTCTGTCACCTCAGGCGCAGCAAGCAGAGCTGCTGTCGCTCCAGCTCACCTCCTCGGATCCACTGCCAGCTTCCCTGCCTGCATGGCCATCCACGTCAGCATCATCGTCCACGTCAGCGCCATCCTCCGCTTCCTCCTCCTCCTCCTCATCATCGGTATTAGCAGCAGCCTATGGTCGGCGCATAACAGTGAACGATACAGTGGTGTTGCCATCAGAAGACGAAGGAGAAGGAGAAGATGCAGCGGCAGCAGCAGCAGCGGCAGGCGAAGCAGGGTTTCGAGATGCCTATTACTATGACACGCACCAAGCTGCATGGCAGCGAGAGCAGCAGCAGCAGCAGCAGCAGCAACAGCAAGAGGAACAGGAACCATGGGTGGAGTATCCTCGTTATAGTGAAGCCCCGGATTATGCTGCTAGGTCTGGTCCTGTGGGTGTAACGGATCCTGTGCTGATTCCCGTGTGGGATGGTGGTGAGACGGGCCGTAGTGGGGAAAGTCTTGTTGGCACAGCAGGAATATCAAGAGGTAGAAATGGAGGAACAGGAGGAGCAGGAGGAACAGAAGGAAGAGGAGGTAGAGGGGAAGATGGTAGAATGGGAGTGGCAGGCGCAACTGCTGCAAATGGAGGAGCAGGAGAAGTGTGTGGAAGAGAAAGAAGAGGGAAAGCAGCGGGCATAGAAGGAAAAGAAGGGGTTGCAGCACTGGCAGGGGTGGCAGCGAGTGGTGGTGTTTGGGGCGCGAGTGAGGCAAAGGAGGGAGTGACGGATGGAGAGGACGTGCGGAGGGGCGGTGAGGAGACATGGATAGGTGGGGAGGAGGACGAAATAGAGGAAGGGAGTACGGATGATGCAGTGAACGATGGAGAGAAAGAGGGAGAGGAAGAAGGAGAGAAAGAGGGAGGGAAAGAGGGAGAGGAAGAGGTAGAGAAAGAGGGAGAGAAAGAGGGAGAGAAAGAGGGAGAGAAAGAGGGAGAGAATGTGAAAGCGGAAGAGGAGGAGCGCGGGGTAGGGACATCGGCAGTGGAAGTAAGAGAGGAGGAAGGGGGGGTGAAAGCGGAAGGCAGGGTGGGAGGCGAAGCAGCAAAGGCAAGCGAGAGGGTTTCGGCATGCACAGATGAGCATGGCATGTTGAATGAAGTGTGGGCGCAGGGGCAGACTGGAAGAACCGAGGAGGAGAAAGTGGGTTTGGAGCAGGTAGAGAGAGTGGGCGATGCAATTGGAGATGCAGTGGGGAGGAAGGAAGAGGAGGAGGAGGAGGAGGAGGAGGAGATTGTGCAGAGGGTTGGTGGCGATGTGATTAGGTTAATCAATGGCATTGAAGATGTGGCGACTGTGGCTGTGACCGGAGACACAGAGGGTGGTGAAGGGTTGATGGCAGGTGGAGATGATATGCTGACAGGAGTGCAGGGAACATCCGTGGAGGGGAGTGGTGACACGTGTGCGAGTGGGAATGAGAGTGAGGGCATGGAGGAGAGTGAGAGTGTGAAAGAGAGTGAGGCAGCAGGTAAGGAGGAAGAGGCTGGTACAGGTTCGGTGCATGGTAGTGGGAGCGGGGGCGAGGATTTATGCCGTGACAGTGAGCTGGGGGAGGGGGAGAGCAGAAAAGGGGGGGGAGAGGGCGAGGGGGAGGGTGGTGATGAGCTTGTGAGCGGGAAAGGAGTTTTGGAGGCGAGGGGGGAGGTGGAAAAGAGAGAAGGGGAGGTGAAGGGGAGTGGGGAGGTGGAGGAGGGTGCAGGAGTGGTAGTGGAGGCAGGAGAGGTGGAAGAGGGAAAAAACGAGGTAAAAGGAGAAGAGGAGGTGGAGAGAGACGAGGAGATAAAAGAGAAAGGAGAGGTGCAGCGAGAAGAGGAGGTGGAGAGAGACGAGGAGATAAAAGAGAAAGGAGAGGTGCAGCGAGAAGAGGAGGTGGAGAGAGACGAGGAGATAAAAGAGAAAGGAGAGGTGCAGCGAGAAGAGGAGGTGGAGAGAGACGAGGAGATAAAAGAGAAAGGAGAGGTGCAGCGAGAAGAGGAGGTGGAGAGAGACGAGGAGATAAAAGAGAAAGGAGAGGTGCAGCGAGAAGAGGAGGTGGAGAGAGACGAGGAGATAAAAGAGAAAGGAGAGGTGCAGCGAGAAGAGGAGGTGGAGAAAAGTGAAGGAGCGGAGCAGGGGAAGACAGAGGTGGAGGAGGGTGTAGGAGACGTGATAGGGAAAATGGAGTTGAAGGAGGGAGAATGGGAGGTGGGAGAGGAGGGAGAGAGCGACGGAAAGGTGACAGTGGAAGGAGAAATGAAGGGGATCGAAGAAGGGATGGTGGACCGAGATGAGATGATAGGGGGTGAGGACGTAATGGGTGAGGTGCAAGAGACGACGGAAGAAGCACACGCGATGAAAGAGGAAGCATAAGAAGCAAAGGAGGAGGCACAAGAGACAAAGGAGGAAGGACAAGAGACAAGGGAGGAGGGACAAGAGACAAAGGAGGAGGGACAAGAGACAAAGGAGGAGCAAAGAGAGGATGGAAGAAGCAGAGAGGAAGGGAAGCAAGAAGATGAGGAAGAGAGCAAAGAAGAAATAGGCACAGACTCAGAAGGAGGGGAAGGGGAGAGTGGAAGCGAGGTCGTGGAGAGAGGAGGAAAGGCGTTAGTCGAGACAGAGGAGAGGAAAGGAGAGGAGGCGGAAGGCAAAGGGGAGGAGGAGAGGCACGGTGGGACGAGTGAAGGCGAAGGGGTAGACAAGATGGTGGTTGGTGGGGAAGGAGCTGGAGACATGGGGGTACGAGACGTGGAGGAAGGTGCACGTGATTACGAGTGTGAAAGCACTGGAGTGAGTGAGAGTGGTGGGGTGTTGGTGGTGACAGAAGGGGGAAGACAGGGAGAGGGAGCCGGAAAGGGAATAGAAGAGGGAGTGGGGGGAGAGGGAGAGGGAGCGAGAGAGGGAGTAGAAGAGGGAGTGGGGAAAGAGGGAGAGGGAGCGGAAGAGGAATTTACAGCAGGCACAGGGGAAGAGGAGGTGGGTGTGAGTGCAGGCAGCACAGCCGAGCAGGTCACACAAGGCACAGAAGGCACAGAAGGCACAGAAGGCACAGACAAGGGCACAGACAAGGGCACAGGCATTACAGGGTTCATGAGTGTCGATGACAGTGTTGGCGGCAATCGTGGTGATGGTGTGGCAGCGTTGCAGGCAGGAAAGACGTTGGGGGGAGGCCGTGCTGCTAGGGATGGTGCTGTGGGGAAGGATGAGGAGGAAGGAGATGAATGGGAAGGTGTGTGGGCCGATGGCGTGTGGTGTGAGTTGGATGAATGGGCAGAGGAGGAGGAAGAGGTGGGTGATGGTGGTGATGACGTTGTTAATGCAGTGGGTGGTGGTGGTGCGGGTGTGGACGATTGGATACTTGCAGGTGCGGCATTGGGTGAGGGAGGAAAAGGAGGAGGAGGAGGAGGACGGGAAGGAGAGGGAGGAGGGGAAGGAGGAGAGGGGAGGGAAGTGGTGGACGGGGTAGCGTTGCATGGGCAGGAGGCTGGGAAGGCAGCAGCTGCAGGCTGTGTTGGTAATGGTGCTGATGCCGCTGGTGATGCTGATGGCGCTGGTGATGCTGATGGCGCTGGTGATGCTGATGGCGCTGGTGATGCTGATGGCGCTGGTGATGCTGATGGCACTGGTGCTGCTGATGCCACTGGTGCTGCTGATGCCACTGGTGCTGCTGATGACACTGGTGACAGTGAGAGGGTGAGCAAGGAGAGGAAGGAGGGGGATGGGGTGAGAGCGGTAAGCGACGCGGGCACAGGAATCAGTGGTAAGGTACAGGAGAAGGAGCTTGGTTCTTCTGGGGTCACTGGTGGGGAGAAGGAAGCAGCAGGGAAGATAGGGGAGCAGCAGGCAGAGGTGGCAGGGACGGTGGGGGAGCAGGCAGTGGTGGCAGCAGCGGGTGAGGATGGCATGGGTGTGGCGTTCAAGGAGACGGGTGATGGTGCTGTGGAGCTGTGGTGGTGGCAGGTGGACGGGTGGGACATGGGGGAGGAGAGTGAGGGCGGTCGGGGGTAGGCGCAGCCTGAAGAGGGAGAGGAAAAGAGGACGAGGAGGAAGAAGAAAGAGGAAGAGGAAGAAAGAGGGGGCTTGCTGCAACTCTGACTAATTCGTTCAGGGTTTTCGGTTTGGGATTTAAGGCTTAGGGCTTGCACCATGCTCTGAGCATGGTGTGACATGTCGTGACTAACCCGGCCTGCTCACTGTTTTAGCTAGAGTAATAACCCTTAACACAATCAAGAGGCGAGACTAAAGTGTATGGGATGATGAGATGAGGTTAATGTTGTTCACCAGGCTCTGATACAAAAGCAGAACACCTAATTCCATGCATTATATCATCTAACATTGCTGTAATTGCACAAGGCACCACGGATCAGCCACTGCTCTCTAATTTGACTAATGTTGTTCACCGGTCAAGTTCCTCTCGCAGCTTTAGATTATGATGCTATATAGTAGCACCACATAAATCTCAATATCTTGTTCGGACTGTAAGCCTGTGAAAACAGGAGTTAGCAAGCAATCCTTTTTTTTTTTTTTTTTTTTTTTTTGGTGGATATAAGTATACAACGTGCATCCATACATCCGCAGTCGTAACTGTTTCTAGGAGGGCTAAATGATTCGAGAAACATTTCCCCCCTCTTCATCTCTACGGAGGTTGGAAAGCCACCCCACCATCTTCCCAAATTGCCTTGAAACCTGCCTTCCACGTCATCGAAGCTTCGCATTGGTACAATTTGCGCATGACATCCGCCTCGTCAGCTGCCAAATGACTCCAGTCACCTGTCTTTTTCGGAGCCCTCTTGCCAACCACCCTTTTCCGAGCCCGGCTGTAGATCTTCACGTGTCTTGTGAAGCTCACCGCTATGCGCAGCAGTGCCCTTTTTGGCTGGAACCGACTGCCCCTGAAAACCGCGTTACACCTCTCTAGCCAGACTTGGTGTGCTGTGATCGAGATGAAAGCCGCCTCCGGAAAACCCGTCGACGTGCTGCTTTTCTGGAACATCATGTCTCCGAGGCTCTCCATGCACCTGCCCGGGTTCATACATCGTACTGCCCTCTTCATCACCCCCACCACTGGTTGTATCGTGGGGCAGCTGAAAAGGCAATGGTCCTGTGACTCCACCTCCCCGCAATGAACACAGCGCGCCCTCGCGCCCAGGAACGGAAGTCTCTCCCCCCCCTGCAGGTTGTTGCTGTGCACTCTCAGCACCACTTCCCGTGCCCTGGCTGGGGTTGCAAGTGAGTCACGAATCTTGATGGCTCTCCTCCAGTCAATCTTTCCCCCCCTCCTTTCCTCCCACTGCAGTTGTTGTTTGGGCTGAGCAGGTGAAGGCCTCATTGCCCTTCGCAGTTGTCTTAGTTCAGCTCGTTCCCCCTTATCGCAGATTGGCGAGTGCAGCAGTCGTGACCTCGGGTCGCCCAGTAAGCCACGCATCCTCCCCTCTATGACCGCCATAGGCGTGGCGATTAAATGGTCGACCGATACCACACTGGCGTACTCCAACGCAGATATGTGACCCTTCTTGTCAACTTCCGCCCGCTTTCCATATAGCACACCGTTAACCGTGTACTCCAGTGTGTAGTAGAAAAACTCCCTCGGCCTGTACGACGGTATTCGCACCAGCCGTGACTCCCTGAAAACCTCCTCTGCAGTCAGCTGAGTGAGTAACATGTCTTTCCAACTCTGCGGCGTTGCCTCCCACGCTTTCCGGGCCCACTTTCGTTGGTCGATTCCCCCCAGCTCCTGTTCCAGAGTGGCGTCACACTTGACGGTTCTGCTGCCGTCGCGGTTTTTCTTCAGCAAGTCCCCCAAGCGAACACCCTTCAAGCAGTGCGAGCCCGCCTGATTTCCGAAGGGCGACCGTCCTCTGAAAAAGATTTTCCGGTTGAATAGCAGTTGCTCCTCCTCCGCATCCCATCTGTGCGCAGGGTCACCCATGGTCAAGATCTTTGAGTCCCAAAGGGCTTTAACAGCTGCCTTCCATCTTGTCCCTCCTCCCAACCAGTGGTTCAGAATCGAAGGGTGGGCGTAGACCGTCGCCAGGCCGAGCGGGAAACCTGCCGCCCTCTCCCATAACCAGACTCTCAACGGTTCTTGCTCCACCAGGGCCTTCCCCAGATTCTGGATCACGCTGCTTTCTATCCTATGCTTCAGATCGATCACCCCCAGGCCGCCCTCCTTTCTTTCCCGACATGACAGGTCATAGCTCCAAAGGATGAAATGTCTGTCCAGCAGTGCTTTGCCCCCGGAGATGAAGTTGTGGCAGAGTCGTTTCACCTTCGTCCAGACTTCGTGTGGCGGAGCGTATATTTGGGCCTGAAACAGCAGGATCGGCATCGCGTAGCTGTTGATAATGGTGACACGTGCAGATGTCTTGAGGTGCTTTGTTTCCCAGCAACTCAGCACCGCGCTTACACTCTCGAAAGCCTTGTCCCAAGCTGGTTCCGGCGATCCACCAGATGTAATCCAGATCCCTAACAGCCTCTCCGCTCTGTCCTTGTCTACCCAGGTGAAAGGTGAAACCAGCGGCTGCAACCTCCTCCTGTTTTTCCCCAGCGGCATCAGCGATGTTTTCTCCTGATTCACCTTCAGCCCCGATATCTCCGCGAAGTCATCTAACAGCTTCTTTGCCGATACCACCTGTTCTTTCCCTCTCAGGACCAGGGTCGTGTCGTCCGCATAGCCGATGTAGGCCAGCTCTCCTTTGACCCCCCTCTTCCTGACTCCCAGTTTTCTCTTCTCGATTTCCTGGCAGAGTGGCTCTACAGCGCAGAGGAAGAGATAAGGGGCGAGAGGGCAGCCCTGCCGAACGCCCTTGTCCATTTCCACCTTGTCCCCCACCCAGCCGTTTAGCAACATCCTGGTGGCAGCGCCGTCATGAAGACCCTTCACCCATCCCGAGTATCCTGGTGGGAAGCCCATGTTCTCGAGTGTCTTGAACAGGTATTCCCGCGACACCGAGTCGTATGCCTTCTGGAAGTCGACCAGAAGCAGCAGCCAGTCCTCATCCTCCTCCACCGCAGCGTCAATCGTGTCAGCTACAAGAGAGACCGCGTCGGCTAGGCTTCTCCCCGGGAGGAAGCCGAACTGATTTTCCGATATCACCTTCGGTAAGACCGCCTTGATCCTGTTTGCCAACACTTTCGCCACCAACTTGTAGAAGAAACACAGTAGAGTGATTGGTCTGTAGTTGCTCAAGTTGTCTCCGTCCCCCTTTTTGTGCAACAGGATCGTAACTGCTGTCAGGAAAGCTTCGGATAGCCGCGCCGTCTTTTCGAACTCTTTGACCTCCCTCATCACAGCTAGCCCGAGGAGGTCCCAGTTGCGCTCAAAGAACTCCTTCGGCAGCCCATCTTGACCGGGGGCTTTACCCACTGGGAGCCCCTTGAGCGACAGCTTCACCTCCTGCTCCGACCATTCTCTCCCCAACAGCTCCCGGTCTGCCTCTTGTAGTCTCCGCCTTTCATCGATCGGCCACGACTCCTTGGTGGTCCCAGCCGGTGAGCATGTGTATGCCTCTCGGAAATGCTCAGAAGCCGCCCGCAACACCTCCTTTGCCCCTTCCAGGCGTGTGCCTTTAAACAAAAGCTCGCTGATCTCTGTCTTTGCTTTTCTTGATTTGACCAGGCCCGAAAGGAAGGCCGATGGTGTCTCCCCCGCCAGCTCCGCCAGCATCCCTGCCATGACTTGGAGCCGCTCCTTGTTAACATCTTGGTAAAGTTTTAGGGCCGCTTCACTCTTTACCAGCTCTTCGTACGCGTCTTGTGCCGATGGATCTGACATCACCCTCCACCGTAGGGATTCCACTTTCTGCTCCAGATGTAGCATGGTCGCCTTCACCCGTTTCCTTTCCTCCGCTACGTGTGCTCTCATGCTTGCCCGCAGATGCAACATAAGTCTCTCCAAGCTCTGAGTCGGCTGGTCTGCCTGCGCTTCCAGCACCGCTGCTATGATATTATGAGTTCCTTCTCCGCCGGCCTGCGACGCCTGAAGCCTCCAGAGACCAGGCCCATGATCCCCTGCCGACGCCGACTTAAGTGTGACCGACACCGCAAACCAGTGGTCGGTGAGGCCATAAGGCACCATCTTGTGTTTCGCCTCTGTTACGTAGCTGAGTAGCGAGTGAGAAACTAAGACCCTGTCGATCCGTGTACTCGTCCTTGCAGATCTGGAAAAGAAAGTGTACTCTTTGCGGCTTGGGTGCAGGCAGCGGAAAGCATCTTGCAAGTCCCATCTCGAGCAGATCTGCAGGAATCGCTGGTTTTCCGCCGGAGTGCCAAGCTTCGACGATTTATCCAACTCCGGATCAGCCACGATGTTGAGGTCCCCAAGAAGGATCGTATGAGGCGATGTGCCAAGGCTCTGCACGAAAGGGGTCAGTACATCGCGGAAAAACACCCCCCTTGCAGAAGCTTGTGTCGGTAAGTACACCGCTACTATTCTGCAGCTTAGGTCCCGCCACTTCACCATGAGACTCATAAGCCTGCCTGACACATGTCGAACTACCTCTGTGAACCGCATCCCTTGCAGGAAGCCCAAGACAGCTAACCCGCCAGCCCTCTGCGACGGCGCCACCACTGCTTGAGCTTCTGATCTAACTTGCGTCCAGAAATTATGGTCTGCCGGGATCCTGGTGTCTGTAAGGACCACCATGTTCGCTGCCTTCCTTAACCACCTGACACATCTCTCTTGTTTTCCGCTGCCGCCGAGCCCGTTGATGTTGAGCTCGAGAAAGGTGAGCTGGTTGGTCTTATCCATTAATCCACTTCGTTGAGCCCCACAGCATCCACGGGCGGTTAAGCTTTATTGCAACGATACATCCTGCTACAGCGAAAGAAAACAGGGCACCCACTACACAACTTGTACCAACAATCCATCCTGCTGCGTCATCCAGTCCGGTCCAGGTACTTGTGACTAAGCCGCTGATCACTTTGCTACCGCTTTGACAATGAACTCCTTCTTGAAAATGGCCATCTTCTGGGAGTGCTTGCTGGCACGCGTTGCATTGCCGTCTGCC